TTGGATTGGAAGGGACCTTAAAACCCATCTCGTTCCAAAGCCCTGCCCTGGGCAGGGATCCCCTCCCAGCCACTTTTCTGCCTCATAAATACGATTTTCCCAATGATTTTTCCAAACACCATCCTGTTCTCACTCCAGCTCCAGAGGTATTTCGGCTCTGACGTTGTTTTATTTCCCACAAATTCCAAGGGAGGAGGTTCCTGGCTTGGTGGTAGATCCTGGAGAGCATTTAGATCCCAAATCCTAGCGAGGATTTGGAGGAGACCATCCTAAACCAGGCATTTTTCCAGGGCACCAAACCCCGTTTGGAGGGCAGAAACCTTTTTTTTTTTTTTTGAGCAAATCCCTCCGGAAAACCGCGGGGGTTAAATTCCTCTGTGGTTGTTCCGCAGCCTGGATGATGCTGGGGATGTGTTGTCCTCCAGGTTTTTAATGACAGGGTGGGAGCTGGGATTTTTTTGTCCCGAGGCTGTTTCCATCTGCACCCAATTATTGCAAAGCCATTCGGGGGGGGGAAAAAAAAAAAGCCATTTCCTGGCTGTCACTTCGGAAAACGCTCCGGCACCTCCAGCCGCCGCTTCCCAACAGCCACTCAGGGGGACATTAAAAGAGCCTGACAGCCATCCAGGTGGTTAATCCTGCTGCTGGAAAAGCTCCGGTGAAGCTCCGTGGGATGCTCCGGAGGGGTTTAAAAAAATAGGAAATGCTGGAGTTGAGGCGCTTGAGTTTTGGGGAATAACTCGTGGATTTAGTGCTCCTGTCTCCCCAAAAAGTCTGGCTAGTGGGATTTGTGTCCACCACAGGGAATGGAGGGACTTGGACACAGGCCCAAGGAGATGGGAAGACAGCCATCCAGGTGGTTAATCCTGCTGCTCGACTTGGGGGATACCTGGAATAGCTCCAGTGAAGCTCTGTGGGATGCTCAAGAAGGGTTTAAAAAAATAGAAAATGCTGGAGTTGAGGCACTTGAGTTTTGGGGAATAACTTGTGGTTTCAGTGCTCCCAACTCCCCAGAAAGTCTGGCTGGTGGGATTTGTGTCCACCACAGCGGCTGGAGGGACTTGGACACAGGTCCAAGAAGACAGCCATCCAGGTGGTTAATCCTGCGGCTGGAAAAGCTCCGGTGAAACTCCATGGGATGCTCCAGAGGGGTTTAAAAAAATTGGGAAATGTTGGAGTTGAGGAGCTTGTGTTTTGGGGAATAACTCATGGGTTTAGCACTCCCATCTCCCCAGAAAGTCTGGCTACTGGGATTTGTGTCCACTACGGTGGATGGAGAGACTTTGGAACACAGGTCCAAGGGTCCAAGGAGATGGGAAGATGCTCCAGCACTTCCGAGTTGGGAGGAACCTCCTGAGAATCATCAAAGCCCATCTCTTGTCCCTCCCCTGGGAAAGGAGCAGGGGGTGGGATAAGTTTGGAGACACCTGAGAAGTTCACCCTGAGCAAAGTGCTTGGGAATGCCGGGCTGGATGGGATCGTCAGGTCAGCGGGTGTTGGGTGCTTGGCCCAGTGACCTGGCCTGGCCTTCCTCCCACCCTCCACCTCCTCCCGCTGAGCTTTTCCATGGAAAAACCTCGTTAACATCATTGCCGAGGCCATTCCACCAGCTGCCACCTCCTCCTTTGCCAGCTCCATGCTAAAGAAGGCCAGGCCCTGCAAAGCCCCTCATCCCAATCCCGCTCTCCCGGGGCACGTCAGGATTCATTGGACCATTTAAGGCCAAAGGCACCTTGGAATTCACCCAGAGCTTCCTTGGCAGCTGGGGAGGAGTCCTGGACACGGGAACTGCCAGCTGGGCACCATCCCAACCCTGGGCAGGCTGAGGGGGGAACCCCACAGTGGGATCATCAGTGGGATCATCAGCGGGATTGTGGCACCTCCATCCTGCTGCTGGAAGGTTGGGGTGAAGTTTCGCCCCCGGCGGGTTTTTTTTCCCCTCGGAATTTTTTTTTCCTCCCCCTTTTTATGACCCAACCTGTGGGCTGGCGGGGGTCCCAGGGGTGGGTTGGGGGGGTATAATTAGCCACCCTGACAGGTGGAAGGGATCAGATGGCTCCCAGCACCACCCCACAGCCCCGGCTCGGCCTCATCCCGGCAGAGAAGTGAAAATTCCCTGCGGCAAACCCGGCGCCTGGGCTTGGGAACAAACACGGGACCAAGAGCGGGGGAGGCCGCTGTAAATAAACAGAAGGGGCTTTTCCAGCGGGAAAGGCGATCCCAAGCTCTGCCATCCCGGCCCCCCAAACAGCGGGGTGTGGCCGGGGCGTTCCGGAAGGAGGGTTGGGAAAGGCGTGGAAAAGCCATTAGGAACCCGAGCCAGGAGCGCGGCCCCGGGATTAGTCACACACGGTTTGTTTGCTTTATTAAGTATCTTTTTGCCATGGAGCCAACAAACATGGGATTGACTCGGGAGCTCGGAGCACATCCCGATCCCGGCGCTGTCCCATCCCTCGGGGAAGAAACAGCCACGTTCCTTGGCTTTTCCCCAAAACCAGCAGCATCCCTCAGCGTAGCATCCATGGGAGTTTTGGAAGCCAAGGCTCCTTTTTTTCCCTGCTCTTCTCCTTTCCAAACCCATTTAGGGCTGGAAAACGTCTATCCAGAAGTGGGTCTCGCTTTTCAGGGATTTGTGGGGTTGTCCTGTGAAGAGACAGGATTTGGAGTTGATGATCCCTGGGGGGGTGAGGGAGCCCTTTCCAACTCAGGATATTCTGTGATTCCAGGAACTGGGATGGTTGGACCAGGACCCGGCCCCAGGGGGTTTCCCATCCCCACAGTCTCGTGCCGTTATTTTTCCTCTTCCCTAATTTCGTTTCCCTTGTTTTTTAAGGCAGTTTTCAGGTGGAGGGATTTGCTTTTCTCCTCATTAATATTTTGGGAGAAATTCCTCCATTTGAATTCCTGTCCTGTCACTGCCTTCTCCAAGCATTTGTCTTTGGTCCAGGATGTGTCCTGTCTGCGGGTGAGGTGGGAAAATGAGGAAAATGGAGACAGGAGCCTCTGGAGAGCCAGGCTGGGAGAGCTGGGGATGTTCACCTGGAGAAGGGAAGGATCCGGGGAGACCTGCGAGCCCCTTCCAGGGCCTAAAGGGATCCAGGAGAGCTAGAGAGGGACTTGGGACAAGGGATGGAGGGACAGCACAAAGGGAATGGCTTCCCACTGCCTAACCAGAGTTAGGTGGGTTATTGGGAAGGAATTCTTGGCTGGGAGGGTGTTGAGGGGCTGGAATGGAATTCCCAGAGAAGCTGTGGCTTCCCCATCCCTGGGGCCAGGTTGGAGCAACGTGGAGCAATGTGGGATGGTGGGAGGTGTCTCTGCCCATGGCAGGGGGTTGGACTGGGTGATCTTTCCACTCCCTTCCCACCCAATCCATTTCATGATTCCATGTTTCTCTGAAACCTGGGATTTTGGAGTAACGGCAGAGCCACAGCTCGACTTTCAAGTTGTCCCTTGGCTTCCGACAGAGGTGGAAAGTCACGGGAATGGGGGTTTTATATGAATTTTTAGTGGAAAAGCAGCACCATCCTCCCCACCCCGAGCCACGATATCCGTGTGTCCATCTGCATCCCAGCCCTCCTGCTGCTCAGCACCATCCCAACCTCTGGCAGACGAGCTCCTCGCTCCGGTGCCGGATCCCCGGGAGGCAGAGCTGCCAAACCCTTCTGCCTTTTCATGGAGAGCTCTCCCAGGGCTCAGCAGGGATCCCGTTCATCCCAAAGGTCAGCACGGGAAGCCGCTCCCGCGTCCCCGGAGTCACGTTCCATGAAAAGGGCAGGAGCTCCCCCCTTCAGAATGATCCTGAAACCCTCCAGTGTTTCCTTTCCCGGTGGATTCATCCCGTTTTCCCCCCCCACCAGATCCATGCAAAATTTGAGAGAGGAGGTTTTCCGGGTGGTCATCCGAGTTTGGAAGGAGCCACATGGTTGGAAAAACACACTTTTCTTGTGGAGAGGGTCCCCAAGGGAATGTTGGTGTTGGGAATCCTTGGCTGTGCCGGGTGGGATGGATTGAGTTCCACCATGGATGTGGTGCTTCCTGTGAAAGTCAGGCTGGGTGGGATGGAGCATCCTGGCTGAGAGTGGGACTAACAGGGCTCCAGGACCTGCTCCCACCCTGCATCCCTTGGGATTCACTAGGATGGGCTCTCTGGATTGCTGGATTTTGGGAATAGTCGGAGATCAGAGAGAGGTTGTTCCTTCTCCTTCCCCCTGCCAACATTCCCGGTCACCCCAAGGGAAATCCCACGTGAAGGCATCTCCTCTTCCCTGCCTGCATCTCTTCCCTGCCTTTCCCACTGCCAAAAAGTGCCCTTTCCCAGCAGGAAGCCTTGTGGGGAAGTTGTGGAGCGCTGATGACTCCTCCCTCCCACCGGAGGGTCTGGAAGCGCCAGAAGCACTTTTAGGGATGAACATCTCGATGCCATCGTTTTTCCAACCCCATTCCATGGCCACACAAAGCTTCCTGGGATGGGAGAGCGTCAACCAAGCTCATTTCCAATCCCTGGGCAGAGCAGGTTGAGCTCCAGCCTTCAACCACCTTCCTCAGGGCCGGGCAGTGATCCCAAAATAAGTCCTAAAAGGACTTTATTCCTGCTTTTCCCTACTCCTTCCCAAGCCCTGAGAATGTCTGGGACAACTGTGTCCTCTCCAAAACCAGCTTCTCCAGCCTAATTAACCTCTTTGGGGACCTCCTAGCATGGCCACCTTGGGGGTAAATCATTGCCATCAAGGCTTTGGTGGCAAACTCGCCACATCCATAAAATCACTTGGATCCATTAAATCACTTGGAAAACCGTGGGTGGGCGTGGAACATCCTGGAGGAGAACGTTATTTATAGGAGTGTTTTGCCGTGGAGTAGGATTGGATCCGGAGAAGGGAACACCAACACATCCTCCCCTCCCTTTAGCGAGGTGTCGATGACACCCGGGGGAGCCCTTCCCGTGTTCCCGGGGGGGTTTTTCCCGTTTTTCCCGACGCCGCTCTCTCCTTCCCCGGCAGTGCAAGAAAAAGCACACGCTGGTTTGTCCTGACTTTGCCCGGAATGGTGTCTGTCCCAAGGGTGGCCGCTGCAAACTCCTGCACCCCCGGAAGAGGCGGCACCCCAAGGAGGCGGGAGGAGACGGAGACCAGGCCGACCCCCCTTCCAAGTGGAGATGGGTCAAGGAGGAGCCGGACAGGTAGGAAAAAGCGGGATGAACTCGTTTTTGCCGGATTAAACGGTTTCCTTCCCGACCCGCTCCGGATCTTTCTTCTTCCGGGTCTTGTGTCCTGGTTTATTTTAAGGTTTTTATTTTATTTATCCTCCTGATGGAGGGAGGGTTGGGCAGTGTCCATGTTGGAGGGAGCTGATGGAGAGGGAAGAGAGGATTCGCCCTTGGGAATGCATCATCCAGGGCTCCGGAAGCTCCAGGTATCTCCGAGGCTTTTGTGGACCTGGGAGATGGAGGAACCCTGGTGAGGATTCCACTGCTGGAAGTGGGTCCAGCTTATCCATAGCTCTGGGGGAAAACTGGAAACCACCATCCCTCTTCCTTATATATCCATGTGGAGAGCAGGGCTGAGCCCTCGGCACAGCATGGAGGGGTTGGATTCACTGCTGGGTGGACATGGAGGTACCAGAGGCTTTGGAAAACATTTGGATGCTGGGTTGGGTCCTCGGAATCTCTCTGAGCTCTTCCTGGTGTTTTTGGGTGCTGGGCTGGACCCCCAGGCAGATGATGGACACGTTGATCCTCATTCTCACAAGGAGATGGATTTCCTTGGCCTCGGCACATCCTCCCCTTCCTTTCCCTCACCCCCCAGCCCTTCCTGTAGGACATTCCCAATGGAATTCAAGCAGTTCCTGCATCCCAAGGAATTCAATTTAAAACCAAAGAGGGGATTTGGCTTTAAAAGCCGAAGTTTCAAAGTCCTGCTTCGAGTGGGAGGAGAAAACCCAGAGCTGGGCGCTCGGCTTCTCCACGGCTCTTCCCAGCGGGAGGTGGGAGCGAAGGTGGGATGGAAACACAGGGATCTGGGAGCTGTGCCAGCCTGGTCCAGGCTCCTTCCCGGGCCTGGGCCTTGTCCTGGCCCTGCCTTGTAAGGTAGCAGAGGGGGGACGAGCACTCAGCAGGTTCTCCCAACTTATCCCGGGTGACAGAAGAGCCTTGGAATGACACCCAGCTCACGTTCCCGGTGTGAACGAGGTGTAAAATAGCTCCCTGCTCTTTTTAGGGAAGGAGGGATGAGCGCTGGGCTGGGTGGCTGGGAGGCTCCTGGCATCCTCCTGCGGGAATGGGAGCACACCCTGGCTTGGAAGCTGCTCCAGAGGGGTTTATTTTTCCCTTTATTGGCACCGTGGTGGGAGATGGGAAAGAAACCGGAGTGTCGGGTTTGCCTGGAAGAGAGAGGTGGGGTTGGGAATGAGCCAAGCCCAGCGGGACATCTCCGAGCCATCCCTGCTCCCCTTCCCTCTGCTCACTCCCAAACAGGAGCCTCCATGAGAATCTGAGGAACTGGAAAACTGGCAGGGAAGCACGGGGCAGGGAATCCAGCTGGGGAGGGAGGAGCTGTGGCTGAATCCCTGTTGGCTCCAGGGATACGGAGCAGCCTGGGATGGAGCCCCGGGAGCCCTGGGCCACGTGGTGCCATTCCCAAAGTTGCCAAGTGGGATTGGTTTGCTTTTCCTTAATATTTGTCCCATCTGCCTCCTGCAGGAATGATCCAGCTCAGCTCCACGACGATGGGGAAATTCCCGGACCTTCCAGCGCAGAGCAGGAGGGGAAGTTTGGGAAAGAGGAGGACTCCAAGCCAACGAGCTGCCTGCAGAAGCTTCCATCCTTCATCTCCCTCCGATCCCCGGAGTATCCCAGATTCCGGGGGTGCGAAGTGGAGAAGGAGGAGGATGAGCCGGAGGAGAAGCCAGGTAGGAATCACATCCTCTGCTTTTCCTCCCGTGTGCTCCGAACTGCTCCCGTTTTCCTAGCAGGAGGGTTATTCCCTGCTGCTCTCCATGAGTTTTGATGGGATTGATGTTCCTTGGGAGTCTCCAAACTCCCAGTTCACACTGGGAGTCCAAACTGGGTCTCCCATCTGGGCACAAATCCTTGTGTTTGCTCCCGAAACCACGTGGGAGGATTTTATCCCATGTTTTATCGTCAGCTCCTTCCTTTGGGAAGCACCACTGGACCAACAGAAGGACCTTTGGACCATCCATCCCATGTGTTTCCTGGCGGGAAATAGCTTGGAAGCTTGCAAATCCAAACATCCCAGTGGGAAATGGGATGGGGTGTTTGACAGGCTACGAGTTGGAGGGAAGAGCTGCTTTAATCTGGGATTATCCACTTCGGAAATGGGTAGAAATTTTGGGAAAATGCGGTTTTAGGATGAGCAGAACTCCTTGGGAATTCTGACACGTGCCTTTTTATCTCGGGAAGAGTTCAGGGAAACGTTTCAGTTTGAAACTGAGGGGGGAAAAAAGTGGGAAAACTGTTGGAGCCGTGAGGAGAAACGTCTTTGTTTCTTTCCAAAGAGGCTCCCGGGGGAGTTTTGCTGCATTTCTGCTTCTCCAACGTTTTCCTTGGTTCCTAATTCTGGAAAATCCAGTAGGGAATGGGACTTTGGGCTGCTCCAGGACTGTTCCTCCAGGAGCAGAGGTGGTGGAGATGGCAAGGCAGGGAATGTGCCTGCTCCTTCCCAGCGCTGGCCGGGAGGTTTTTAGTGGGATGTTGCTCCTCACTTCCCTTTTCCTCTTCCATCCTTCTCCAGAGGGATGTGCAGCCTCTGGATCTCACAACAGGCTCGCAAATCACAGGATTTTGTGGCAGGAATGATGGAATTCCCACCCCCAGCTCAGCTAGCACAGGATGTGGCTCAGTAGGAGCCCTTCCAATCCTCAATCCCTGCTTCCCGTGTAGCTGGAGCGGGATCCCATTGGGAGAAGGGATGAATCCAGCACCAAATCCAGGCTGGAGCGGGCACCAAGAATCTTCAATCACTTCGAGCCAGGGAGGGCTGAGATGCCTGAACGCTGTCGGAAAGAGAATTCCCGGGATTAACAACATATTCCCGAAGTCACAGGAGTGCACTTTGGACTGCAGCGTCGTGGGAACAGAGAGGGATAATTCTGGCTGGGAAAGCTCCTCTCGCCTTCCCTTTCCAGGGATTTCTCCCCTGCTCCTTCCCTCTCCTTGGCCCTGGTTCAACTCCCTTTTGATCCCAGAGGCGGGGCCAGGAAATTGTTCCCAGAGCGGGGTTTTTATCTCCAGGATGAAGTTGGAGCAATTAATCCATGGATAAGAAGGCTGTTGAAAGTTGGATTGGCTGGGGAAGGCCCTGGATTACATTTGGCAGCCTGGAAGAACTTGGCAGTGAGGGTGTCCTTTTCCTCTTTATCCAGCGTGTCCGTGCAGAGAAGGATGATTTCCAGGCTTTTTGGGCGTGGGGAGGAGGAGCTGGTTCATTTGGGAATGTTGAGAGGAACTCCGTGGAGGTGAGGTCAGGGCATGCATTCCCTCTGTGCTCCTTTGCCAGGGGGATCACGTGGCATCACGAAAACAGATGCTGGAGGATCCATAGGGAAGGAAAACCGGGCAGGAATCACGGATGGCTGTAAAATCATACGACGAGGAAGCAACTTCCCCGCCAAAGGAATGCGGCGAGTCTGGACACGGGAATGTTGTCCCGTGGGCTTGCCAATACTTGGGTCTCATCCTAACCCTCATCCAAGGGGTTTGGGGGCACAGGAGAATCCAGGGATTCCCAAAACCCGACAGGAGAAGAGGAATCCCAAAAGGAGGCGGGATGAGGCCGTTGGTGCTGCTGAAGGACTGAACGCTCCGTGGTGGCCACTTCACCTGGGCTTGGTGATCCTGGTGGATCCCTCCCAGGTCAGAATATCCTGGGATTCCGGGATTCTGAGCTGTGTCAACGGTCAGGATGAGTCCTCGCGTAACCGGCGTCAGGATTTTGGGGGTGATAATGGTGGGTTTGTGCTTGTGGAGCCTGGAGTCGACACACAAATTGTAGGGATCATAAATAAGGAGAGGGACAGGTTGTTACTATGGAATGAGCTGAACTCCCTGGTTAAACCTTCAGAATTTGAGGAAAGTGCCCTTTTAATCCTGGAACAGGATAAAACGCTGGCTCCGTGCGCGGCAGGAACAGGGAGGGGGCTTGGAAGTGACCTTTAAGGACCGGCGTGGGCAACAGCATCAGCTTGGGAGGGGGTCTCAGTGGGGGCCTGGGCTTGGGATACAGGGAAAGGGGATGGAAAATAGGGATGGGAATGCACGGAGCGGAACCTGCCATCGTCCTCCCACCCTGCAAGAGAAGCCTGGGAATTTGGGGTGGGAGGAGTAATTTGTGGATGAGGTGACCGGGCAAAGGTTGGACTTGATGGTCTTGAGGGGTCTTTTCCAGCTGAAATGATTCTGGGATTTGAGGGCGCTGGGGCTTTCCGAGCACCCCCTGCGGAATGGGGAAGGCAAACCCCTTCCAGACCAGGAACAACCCCATGTCATCCAGCCGGGATAACGGGCAGGAAAACTGTCTCCCCTTCCCCTCCCACGGCCGTTCCCAGGTAACGGCCTTTTCCATATTTCACCTCCCAGTTAAATCCCCTGTGCCGGAGCCTCACCGGCCCCCTCATCCCGACTCAACCCATTCCAAACCCAGCGCTAATTTAATTAGGAAGCCCCCATTTTAGTTAATTTGTTCGAGAGGAGATCGCCGCGAAACTCCCGGCGAGAACAGATGTTCCGCCTCTCCCCCGACGAACATTCCGGGCCGCGTAAATGGCTCCGCTCAGCCTTGTTTAGGAGAGAAAAGAGGATTTTATGGCTTCAAACGACCCTTTCTGTAAACATTTTACAGCTTCTCCGCGCGTCGGAGCGGCGATAAAACCCCGAGCAGCTCGGGCGGGGGCAAATTTGCCGCCAGACGGCCGCCGTTTGATTGTCGTATTTCACGGTCGTAACGTTAATGGAAGATGCTGCTCCAAGTCTTTTTTTAACGGCCCTGCCGAGCTCCGGCTTCCTGGGAATTCGGGGGAGGTGAGGAGGCCACTCCCGGGTTTGTTTACGGCTTCGGCTTCCGGGGGAATCGCTTTGGAAGTGTGGGTTTGCTCCTTCTTTGTCGTGGACACCCCCCCATTTGTGGTGGATCTTGGTCCAACCATCCCCAGCTCCTGGAGTCGGGAATAGCCTGAGTTAGGGATGCAGGAGGTTCATCCAAGTCCAACTTCTCATGGGTTTGGCTTCTGGAGGAATCACTTTGGAAATTAGGGGTTTCTCCTCCTTTTTTCCAACCCCACTGGGGGCAACTCGTTGGTGGTGTGTCATGATCCAACCGTCCCCAGCTCCTGAAGTCATGGAATATCCTGAGTTGGGAACCCATGAGGTTCATCCAAGTCCAACTCCTTATGGTTTTGGCTTCTGGAAATGCAGATTTGCTCCTCCTTTCTGCTGACCCCCTACCCCCTTTTTGGTGGGTCTTGGTCTGACCATCCCCAGCTCCTGGAGTCAGGAATAGCCTGAGTTAGGGATGCACAAGGTTCATCCAAGTCCAACTTCTTATGGGTTTGGCTTCTGGAGGAATCACTTTGGAAGTGGGGGTTTTCTCCTCCTTTCGCCCCGACCCCAACAGGGGGAACACATTTTTCCTGGAATCCCGGAATGGTTTGGGTCGGAAGGGCCCTTAAGAGGCACCTTCCACTAGGCCTGGTTTGTTGGGGTGTTTAAACTCAGTTTTAGGGTCTCATCCACCTGTGGCAGAGGGTTTGGAGACCTTGGATTTTAGGCTTGGCTCCGGGATTTTTGCCTCTTGGCATCCCTGTGATCCCACCCGGAGTTCTTTGATGACCTAAAAGCTGGAAGGGCCCTCCAAGGTGGTGGAATTCCATCTTCTCCAGGATAAGCTGCAGCTCACCGGGAAAGGATGTCAATCCACGATCCCTGGAGCTCACAGCTGGTTGTCCAGGTGCTTTTTCCCTCCTCAAAGATGGAATTAAGGAGAAGAGACACGGAAAGGGTGTCCCGGCATGGATGGAAGCCTGGCAGGAGATTGGCACTGCCGGGAATGATGGGATGTCTTCTCCATCACATCCTCACATCTGAGCATCCATGGGAGCATTTTTCCTTCTGGATAAAGCTCCTCATGGCATCCCAACCTTGGTGTTCCCGGCATCCCAGTCTTGGTGTTCCCTTCCCTTGAGGGACAGAAGGTCTGGGTGGAGCAGCAGCAGGATCGTCTCCACATGGATTTGGTTCGGGATGGAGCCAAGGAGATCCAACCCCCCCCCCAGCTGCTTTTTCCATATGAAAAGCTGGAAAATCCTGGAGCGCGGTTCTTTCCAAGGCCCCTCAATTTCTGGGCTCCCCAAAGTGGCCTGGAAGGGAGGGGGTTAAGGGATATTTTCCCTTTGGGAATGGGGGGGGGGGAAAGTGTTTTTGGGGGAATTTCCCCTCATGGCATTAAACCTGGAGCCAGGGGAACCTGGGATGCAACCCTGGGGAAGGTGGAGGATACATTCCTGGAGGAAGGTGCAGGAGAGGGAATGAAACCCCTTGGTGGCATCGGGAGAGCGACGGAGCCCGAACATCCCATTGGGAAGGGAAACCCGCAAAAATTCCAAAGCTTTTTATAACGGGATGGTGGAGCTTGGAAAAGTCACGTCCTGTTCCTTTGGGGCTTTGGGGCATCTCCAGCTGCTTCCCACTTTCCCACCCTGTGGAGAAACCCACAGGAATTGAGCAGGGAGAGGATTTGGGGCTCGGCACGGCCCCATCTCCTTTTCCCCTTCACCCCAAGGAGATTCCCTGCCTTGAGATCCCTTTAAATCCCTCTTGTACGGCAGCTGGAGGAAACAAATTGGGTTTTCCCTTCCCTGTGGGATGCAGCTGGAGCCTCTCGGCTCCGAAAAAGCAGGTTTTGATTGAAAAATCTAATGGGGCCACCTGAAGTGTGATTTACTGCCCCGTCCGCCCCTCAGACTGGATAATACATTCTGATTAGATTTCCTTCCTTTTCCCTCCTTTCTCGCGGAGAAGAGTGGCAAGTCCCCTCCGTCTGCTTGACACCTCCTTAGGCTCAGGCAAAATAAATGTTGATTTCCATCAGGGAAAAGGGGAGGGGGGTGGAAAAAAAAAGTGCTGGAAGTCCGAAATTCTCCGGCCAAAAAGCCCCCCAGGTTTCCGACAGAAAACTCGCTCTCCGGCCGCGGTTCCTCTTCCTTCGGAAGCGGTTCAATTGTGGTAATGGGATAACAAAAAAAAAATAATAAAAAAGGGGGTTTCTCTTTTGCTACTTGATATAAATGATGCACCTGGTTCCCAGGAGATGGATGGAGCCTCTTCCCAAAGGCAGGGAAAAGCGGGAGAAGGGGGAGAGAGAGGCCCAAGATTGATCACACCATTTGCAGGATCTCCCAAGCACAAAAGCGGAAAATGTCTTTTCCTTCGCCGGGGTTGGAAAAGCGACTCCCCCTCACTCACCGTTTGCTCCAGGTTTCCCGCCCCTTGGATGCGGTTTTCGCCCATCCTGCTGCTCCGGCTTTTCCAGGAGTAGCGTCTCCCTCTATCCCACAACCACTTTAGTCCTTTCACACGACCTGTTTTGGGTTTGTTCCCTTATTCCCGCCTCGGTGTTTTGAGGGATGTGTTTGGGATGGAGCGCGGATGCTCCGACAGTGTCTGGGCTCCGTGCCGGAGTCGGGAAGTTAATTATGGTCAATTTAAAAATCCCCAAAAAAAACCCCCAGGAATCCATATTTCTACTTCTCTAAACGCGTTTGATTTGAGGGGCTTTGTGGAGGTCAGATAAGGAAGTTTCTCTGGCTCATCCAAAGGGAATTGAGCCCTTCCCACCGTTCCCGCTGAACCAGGACCACGGTTGCTGGTGGGGCAGGAACATGGACATCCTGATTTTGGCCCCTTGGGACGACCACCAGCAGCTCTGGACTCTAATTCCAGCAACCAGGGTGGGAAATATTAATTAATGAAGTTTTTTCCAGCTCATCCAAAGGGAATTGAGCCCTTCCCACCATTCCCCCTGAACTGATGTTGGGGTTGCTGGTGGGACAACATGGAGATGCTGGTTTTGACCCCTTGAGGTCCAGCAGCTCTGGACTTTAATTCCAGCAGAGTGGGAGATATTAGTTAATGAAGTTATTAATTAATGAAGATCCTCACTAAGGAAGTTTTGGCTGGCTCATCCAAAGGGAATTGAGCCATTCCCACCGTTCCCACTGAACCTGGGCCACGGTTGCTGGTTGGGCAGGAACATGGAGATGCTGGTTTTGATCCCTTGAGGTGACAACCAGCAGCTCTGGACCCTAATTCCAGCAATCAGAATGGGAAATATTAATTAATGAAGTTTTTTCCCAGCTCATCCAAAGGGAATTGAGCCGTTCTTGCCATTCCCACTGAACCAGGTTGCCGGTGGAGCAGGAACACGGACACCCTGATTTTGACCCCTCGGGGTGACGACCAGCAGCTCTGCTGGACCTTAATTCCAGCGACCAGGGTGGGATTTGGAAATCCCAGTCTGGAAAAAATCCACCTACTTGGGGTCAGCTGGAAAAGGAGGAGGGTGTCGCCATTCCCGGGATCCGGATTCCACTCCGTCACCAGTGACTAATCCCATGGCTGCCCCTGATGTATGGATGTTGTGTGAAGGGTGGGAAGGCGCTCAATGAGCCCTCCTTGTTTTCCATAAATTAGCTCCGGAGCGATGTGTCACTGCCGGCGCCGCTCCCGCTCGGAGCTGGTTTGTTCATCCAGGTTGAAAAGCCAAGGAAAACTCTTGGAGCTTCCCTTTGTTGAGTGTTGCTTGGGGTCCTTCCCCCACTCCTGCCTCCCCTGCCCCCCCCCAAATCCTTCCTTTCTGGGCTTCTCTGAGGTCCCCGTGGTCCCACCTCCAGCATTGGGAATCGGGCTGTGGAATTTTGTGGGAACACTCCCAAGTTGTGTGTGCTGCTCCCCCAGAACACCTGGAGGGGGTTTGGGCTGGATTCCCTCTGTCTTATCCATGACCTTTCCCACCTCCTCTAATCCCAGGTGTGGGGGAGGATTTTCCCACTAAACCTCCAACAAGCTGTGGGCCCTTTTTTTTTCTGGGAAACCTGTTTTTCCAATCTTTCCATCCATCCCGGGGGGCCACCGCTCTCCTTCCCACCCTTGACTTCCCCCACAGAACCACCTTTCCAAACCCTTTGGAGAAGGGAAAACGGGAGGACCTGCACAAAGGTTGGGTTGAAACGGGGGAAGGACTTCCCACTTCGATCCATGGAATGTTCCTGGGCTTGTCCTCCAAGGAGGTCACTTCCCAGGGGCTTTCCATGAGCATCCAGGCCCCTCTTTGGAGGAAGCAGAAGCCATCACTTGGAGCATCCCAGGGGAGTGCTGGGAATCCCTGGGGGATGGAGCTTCCCAGTGCTCTGCTCCTTCCAGCTCCATCTCAGCCCCAAAGCAGATCCTGGTATTTACCTTGTGCTCCAGGGGGAAGGTTTGGATCCTTTTTAATTCTCTTTTTCACCCATAACTTGGGAATTTTTGCAGCAGACTGATGGGAAGGGACCTCCAAGTGCCCTGAGGATGCTCAGGGATTTGGGGAATGAGCCATCCTGAATGTGGCCAAGGATGTGGAGCAGAAGAGGAGCTTAGGACGCTCCCACTCCTTCATTCCAAGGGATTTCCAAGTTGACCTGAGCCAACCTCCAGGACTTTCTCCTCTTTTCTCCCTTTCCCCTCCCAGGCACCACCAAAAGGAAGAGGATTTTGCCACGGGAATCCTCAGAGGACTCGGAGGACACCCGTGTGGAAGGTGCCAGAGGTGAGGCCAGTAGGCGCTACCAGGGCGGAAAACCACCCACATTCCCAGTTTTTCTGGTGCTTTAACCCTTCATGACCAGGCAAGGAGAAGCCTGGGAGTGTCCGGGTGTGTCCCTCACGTCCCACCATCCCCTTTCCCTGCTCTCCTTCCAGGCAAACGGCTGCAGATCAAGCCCCGGCTGTGAGGAATTCCCGATTTCCCGATCCCAGGATCAGCCGACCCGCTCAGGAACCGGAGAGCCGGGCACGACCTGGCACCTACCTCAGGACGCCGTGTCCAGACATGGCACCACCCCCTTCTCCTCTCACTTTTCCGGGACACCATTCAGACAAGGAGCAGCGTGGGAATACGCCTCTCATTCTCACCGGGAATTCCTGCAGGAAGCGGCTTCGTTTGGAATCTTTGCGTTGACCAATAAACGACCTTTCTCCGTTGGTTTGTCAGAGGCAAGTCCTGCCAAATTGAAGCTCCTTGGATGTTTGTGGGGTTGGGAAGAGCTTCCTATTCCCGTGGGTGCTGTCCCGGACACGAGGTGATCCGGGGACCTGAGGTGACATTCCCAAATCCAGGGCAGCCACGAGCCGGGATGTAACGGGATGTAAAGCCCCCACAGCCCCTGATCCCTCCATCCCGCTCCATTCTCTTGCTTTTGGGAGGGGATTTCTTGGAGCAGGGCCATGTTCCAAGAGCATTCCTAACGGGAATGTGTGTTGGGAGCGGTGCCAAGCTCTCATCCCGCAGCATTTTGGGATCTGGTAGCTCCTAATTCCCACCTCTCCTCATCCCAGTGGGACACCCAAACCGACTCTTCCAGAGGTTTTTTTTTGGCCGGAGCAAAGCACGGAGAGGCCGTTATGTCACCAGCACCACGGGGGTTTTGCATCCATAGGCACCACTTCCCAGGGATTTTGGGGAACCCCCCGCAGATGGGATTTGGGGGACACCTCCGAGCCACAGGGGGGGATGGCGGGATTTGCCCATCCAAACGCCCCTCAGGTGAAATCCTGGGGAAAAAAAAGGCTCAGCAGGAATGTGGGGAAGCGCTGGGGCTCCCTGAGGACGTTTCCCGGGAATGGGATGGGCTCAGGTGCTCCGTGGCTCCGGGAAGATGCCGACGGGCATCCAAACACCCCCCCGGGGGCTTTCCCTTCCCAGAGAGACCCCCACGGTGGGAAGGGGAGTTGTCACCATCCCAAATCCAGAGCGTTTCCCCCCAGGGATGGATGGATCCCACCCTGGGATGTCCCTTGTATCCCAAGAGCTGTTTTGTAACAAAAGCTCCGTCGTCTCTGTCGCCATGAAATGTCTTTTATTTTAATTCCTGTGGTTTGGTTTGTAAATAAAGACTTTCCTCCCCCTGGGGACGGGAGTGTGGCTTGCCTCTCTCTTTCCAGCAGGAACATCCCATCAAAAATCCATCCTGATCCAAGGGAGGAGCTGCTCCAACCCTTGAATCTTTGATTTTTAAAAAAAAAATTTTTTTTTTTTTTTTTTTTTTTTTTTTTTTTTTTTTTTTTTTTTTTTTTTCTTTTTTTTTTTTTTTTTTTTTTTTTTTTTTTTTTTTTTTTTTTTTTATATACTTATTTTATTTTTTGTTATTTTTCTTATTTTTGTAATTATATATTTATTTTCTTTTTTATTATTTATTATTTATTTTTTTATTATTATTATTCCGACTTTTCCACATTTCTTCACTTAAAAAAAAAAAAATCTCAGCCAAATTCCCTTAAAAACTACCCCCTGAGGAGAAGGTGCTGGGAATCCTCCAGGATGGCCCGATGTGGAGCTTGGGGCTTTCCCATATCCATGGATTCCCTAACGAGGATTAAGCCTCATGCCGCGTTAATTAAACGAGGCAACGAGCGACTTCTCCACTCGGAACCGCTGCTCCCATCCCGAGAAGGCTTGGAATTTGCTGCTGGCTGTCGTTAAGGCTCAGCTTGGGGGGTGATTAATTCCCAAGCTCGGGATCAGCTCGGCCCCCGGCGAGGAGTCTCCGAGCCCCGGTGGCTTCTCCCGAGTCTCCAACGGCCACGACGCCTCTGGCACGAGCTCCTGGGGGGTTTATCTGTCCTTCCTTGGGAAGATGGGAACAGTGGGCACCCGGCAGGGACGTTCCCTGGGGGAACGTTTCTAGAAGGCTCCATAAACATTTCCTGGAAAACCCTCCTGCGGCGGGCGCTGCTGGCACCGCTCTTGGGCCCCTGCCGGGGAAGCAGGTGCCGGGTGGGCACCCGTAGGATCGGGTTCCTGCCTGGCATCAGGGGGGCTGTTCCCTGCCCTCCTCCTCCTCCTTCTCCTTGTCCTCTTCCTCCTCCTCCTCCTCCCACCTTCACTGTGTGATTCCCCCCCTTCCCAAAATTCCTGACCCTTCTCCACATCCAGCCGCAGATGCTGGTGGAGCATCACCAGGATGGTCCCACCAGCTCATGGGGTTCATCCTGATGGGACACTGCCCTCTCCATGGGGTGAGGGGTTCCCTGCCTTCCTTCTCCTCCTCCTCTTCCCACCCTCACTGTGTGATTCCCCCTTTCCCAAAATTCCTGACCCTTCTCCACGTCCAGCCACAGATGCTGGTGGAGCATCACCAGGACGGTCCCACCAGCTCATGGGGTTCATCCTGATGGGACACTGCCCTCTCCATGGGGTGAGGGGTTCCCTGCCTTCCTTCTCCTCCTCCTCCTCCTCCCATTCTCACTGTGTGATTCCCTCCTTTCCCAAAATTCCTGACCCTTCTCCACGTCCAGCCACAGATGCTGGTGGAGCATCACCAGGACGGTCCCACCAGCTCATGGGGTTCATCCTGATGGGATACTGCCCTCTCCATGGGGTGAGGGGCTCCTTGCCTTCCTTCTCCTCCTCCTCTTCCCACCCTCACTGTGTGATTCCCCCCCTTCCCAAAATTCCTGACCCTTCTCCACGTCCAGCCACAGATGCTGGTGGAGCATCACCAGGACGGTCCCACCAGCTCATGGGGTTCATCCTGATGG